ATCCAGCCCTGCACCTTGTTACCTCAAGAAGTATGGCAGTTAAGGCACAGTGCCAATGATAGGAAATGTAGAAGATCATCTCTGGCTGCCATCTGTAATATTTTGCATCCTCCAACCATGGGAAAAGTCTCTGGCCAGAATATCCAAATGCTAAACATGAACTTGAATGAAGTTTCCATGTGCAATACTTCTCAACTGTTGCAGGTGCCTCGGAATCTGCCTCACAGTATCGATTGGAATGCTTCTGCAGTGACACAAATTAAATCCAACACAACCATCTCAACAGTGTGATGGAAAGGAGACATCAAATTCTCAACATGGAGCTGGAGCTCTTTATCCTGCAATTAAATAATAACAGTGATTTTGCATTTAGACAGTTGCAAATAATTCATCTGGAAATCTCAGGAGACAAAGGCATAGGAGAGCAGCGTTCCCTCTAAACTGTGCAGCCATGGGACCGTGTAGCTGTTCCGAAGATCTGTGCATGCCGATTGGCTTACTGACACTGTGCTGACCCATTCAGTCCCCATTTCTCCAGCGGCAGATGTCCACACAGCCAATGGAGAAATGAGTGGGATTCTATGATCCTGTCTACCTCCTTGTTAAAAAACTTTCAGTGATCTAGCCTCTACAAACCTCTGGGTAGACAATTCCAGACATTCACTAGTCTCTGGGAGAAGAAATTCCTACACATCTCAGTTTTAAATGAGTGCCCCCTTATTCTGTGACTATATCCACTGGTTCAATATTTATCCTGTCAAGCCCCCTCAGAATCTTAAATAAAAACAAAAAGTGCTGGATAAACTTGGCAGGTATGGCAGCATCTGTAAAGAGAGAAACAGAGTTAACGTCTTGATTCCAATCTGACCATTCTTCAGAACCACCCTACAGAATTTTGTATCTTTCAATAAGATTACCTCTTGTTCTTCTAAACTCTAATGAATAGAGGCCTAACCTGTTTAGCCATTCTTGTTAAGTCAACCCATCGTCCCAGTATTCAGTCAAATGAATCCTTCTCAACTGCCTCTAACGCTAGTACATCCTTTATTAAATACGGGGATCAGAACTACACAGTACTCCAGATGTAACCTCACCAACATCCTATACAGTTATGACAAAATTTCCCTATTTTCAAATTTCAGCCCCCAATAATAAAAGCCAAAATTCTGTTTTCCTTCTTAATCACTTGCTGCATCTGTTCACTAATACGTTGTGCTTCATGCACAAGAACCAGATTCCTCCATACTGCATTTTAATGCAGACTCTCTCCATTTAAGTAATAGTCTACCTTTTAACTGTTTATACTCAAGGGCATAACCTCACACATTCCAACAATAAATTCCATACGCCATGTTTTTGCCCACTCACTTACCCTAACTGTATCCCCTTACAGATTCTTAATGTCCTCATCACAACATAACCTTTCATTTAATTTGAATACATTACACACTGCTCAAGCCACCAATCCATCAAAATCGGTAACAAATAATTGAGGCTGTACGACTGATCCCTGTGGTACTTCACTAGTTACATTTTCCAACTGTCTAAATGCTTTCATTATTTAATTGTAAGGTAAAGTGTTCCAGCTCCATGTTGAGAATTTGATGTCTCCTTTCCATCACACTGTTGAGATGGTTGTGTTGGATTTAATTTGTGTCACTGTAGAAGCCTTCCAATCGATACTGTGAGGCAGATTCCAAGGCACCTGCAAAGGTTGAGGAGTATTGCACATGGAAACTTCATTCGAGGTCATGTTTAGCATTTTAATTTCAACTCTCTGTATTTTGTGGATTAACCAATCCTCAGTCCATGCTAATACCTCATATCACGAACTTTTATCTTGTGCAATAAACTTTTATGTGGCACCTTATTGAATGACTTCCGGAAATCTAAATAACCTACATCTACTTGGTATCTCTTTATGAATTCTGCTTGGTATATGCTCAAAGGATACTATCAGATAAGATTTCCCTTTCCTAAAACCATATAGATTTTGCTCGATTGTGTTAAGTTTTTCTAAATGTCCTGCTATTTCTTTCTTCATAATGGATTCTAGCATTTTCCCAACACCAGACCTATAGTTTTCTCCAGGTTTTGCGGACAAGGGAAGGGCCTGATTCTGGGGGATAACAAACCACTTGCCACAAGAAATAATTTTCACTGTCCAAGTTACGTTTTCTACTATGGTCTGATGTCCACCTATAGAACTGGATCAAGGCAGCTTAACAACTAAACAGTTTGCAGACAATGTATAACACACCTCCATCATCAGTGTTGGATTCATCCCAATCTCAAGAGAGATGTTAAGTTTGTAATCTGACCCTGCACTTCGTAGTTACTTAAAGGAATCGATCAGATAATGGCTTTGTCATTACTATTAATTATTCATTAGGTTACACTTGGCGCAGACACTGACTAAATATCCAGTGGTAAAGGTTCTATGGTATTTGTTCTAAAATTATACGGCAATTGCAATTTTTATTATTTGTGCCATTTGATATTTTATTGAGAAAACACAATGAGGAAATCCTTTGCACTGATGTAGCCAGTACTGTTTGTAATTTACATGTTTATAAGGGGATGGCCTAGTGTTATTATCACTACACTATCAATCCAGAGACCCAGATAATGTTTTGGAGGCCTGGGTTTGAATCCTGCTATAGCAGATGGTGGAATTTGAATTCAATAAAAAAAATCTGGAATTAGGAGTCTAACAATGACCATGAAACCATTGTTGATTGATGGGGAAAAAAATCTGTTTTACTAATGTCCTTTAGGGAAGGAAACTGTCATCCTTAGCTGGTCTGGCCTACATGTAACTCCAGACCAACAGCAATGTGGTTGACACTTAACTGCCCTCTGGGTAATTATGAATGGGCAACAGTGACACCCTCATCCCTTGAGTGAATTTAAAAAAAATCACAACAAAATATAGTTTTGCAGATGATAATGAACAGAACGTACATGAAAGGTTATTTTTGCCAAACTTGTGCCCTCAGGATGGAGTCCTGTTCTGATGGACCAGTAGTCAGTGAATCTGTATGACAGTGTTGCCATGCTATCACAAAGGTTGAACTTCTCTTTGCTAATCACTAAAAATTCTTTTGTTTCCACAGTGACGTGTTCTGTAAGAAAAACAGCAACCAAATTTTAAGCGAGAACGACATAATATATTTTCCAAAGTTAGCGAACACACTGCAAATGATAGCAGACATAGGACCGAATGCATTCTATGATGGGCCCATTGCAGATGATATTGTTAAGTATGTCAGTCAATCAGGTATGCACACAGATGGATACAGATCATAGCTGCCTCGTCTTATGTGATGAGACTCCTGTTTACCAAATTCAGGTTTACTTCCTGAATCCAAAAATGCTGGAGATAACAGCAGGTCAGGCAGCATCCATGGTGGGAAAGCAAGCTAACATTTCGAATCTAGATGACTCTTCATCGAAGCTGATGTCAGCTTTAACACCCCTCCCATCACAGTTTCTTAGAAGAGAATACATTTTTGATCCAATCTTAATTAACTTGTAGTGCCCTATCCAGAACAGGCTACTAAAAAAATTAGCAGCACCATTAATGTCTGTATAATCACACATCATGACAGAACTCCACACAGCTTCCAATTTCGTTATCTACTTTTGGGGTGGCAGATAATCTTGGCAAGGTGGTAAATATTGTTCCTCTCTAGTTGTCCATGAACTAATGTGATCCACGTGCTGAGGTTGCTCCCACATTGATGTTAGCTCTGACACATCAACAATACAGAATCCAAATCAAAGTCAGGATGGGCTATGACAGGCAATACCTGCTGGATAGCGGGGGAATATAGAGGAAGAGACGCTGTTGAATGAAGCTTGACCAATTGCTGTAGGATGCCTGTAGTTTGTGCATATTACAGTTCATCCTGTAGATTGTATATTCTTTGGCCCATCCTGTAGGTTGTTGTATACCACAGTCCACCTTGTAGATTGTGTATACTGCAGTTCATCCTCTAAATTGTTTACTACAGCACATCCTGTAGAATGTAAATATCATAATCCATCCTGTACATTGTGTACATTACAGTCCACCCATAGATTGCGGAAACTACAGTGTATCCTGTAGATTGTGTATATAAAAGTCCGTCCTGTGGAAAACACAGCAGTCAATTTGTGCAAAGCAAGATCCCATTGAGGTATATAGCCAGATAATGAATCTCAATGATGTTAACAGAGGGGTGAACGTTAGTCACAACATAACAGAGACTGTCTTCTTTGGAATGATGCTTTGAGATCTTCTATCTCAAATTTACAAGGGCAGACAGATCCTTGGTTTGACATTTTGTACAAAAGGCTGCACCTCCAACACTTACAGCAATGCAGCAGGAGTGTCTGCTGCATTATTCCTGTCCTTTCTAAAGGCATTGTTCAGTTAAGCTCCCTCTCAGTAAAAGGAGTTTATTTCATCGAACTAGTAAATGGTTTCATAATCTTGTTTGAATAGATTGCAATTCTGTCCATTTCTCTTGCGTCTTTAGGTGGACAAATTTCTCACAATGATCTGAAACAGTATAAAGCGAACAAGGAGACACCAATAAATGTGACTGTTGATGGATATACACTGTATGTTCCAGGTGCCCCATCTGGAGGACCAGTGCTTGCACTCATTCTGAAAATTCTTGAAGGTAACCCTGCTGTACAGAAATGTTTTACTTTAATTTTTAAAGCTTTTCCAGCTAAGTAATCACGAATGCTGAACTAGACTATGGAGAATTAACAATTCTCCTGCTATTAGCAGGAAGCTAGGGATGAATTGTTGACAATCTAATTCAGCTTCTGCTGGTGCTCAGGAAGGTGACCATAGTGTATTTAGGGTGGTTACTGAATTGAAAATGTCACCACAGGATACAAATGAGCCATTTTGTTATTCAGTCAGTAGTAAGCCACATGACCTCAAGATGAAGTAATTTTTTTTATTATTTTGAACTTCCAAATGAACTTGTTTGAAGGTAATTGAGACATATATTTATTCTGCCATAGTTCAGAAATATCGTGAAGAACTTCATAACGAATTGCTCGGAATCACAAGGACTGTCAATAGACAGAACAACGTTTGCACTCCAGAACCAAGTCCACTACCAAACAAACTGTTACAGTGCAGCTACAACTCTGGCTGCAACCCAATGATGTAGAAAATTGCCCAGTCATGCCCTGTGTGGAGAAAATAGGATAAATCCAAACTGAAAGGTGTCATAAACAATGCTATCAAGCAGTACTTGTTTAACAATAACCTGTGAACTGACTCTCAGTTTGGTTTCAGCCAGGGCCACTCAGCTCCTGACCTCACTACAGCCTTGGTTTAAACATGGACAGAAGAGCTGAATTCCAGAGGTGAGGTGAGGGTGACAGCCCTTGACATCAAGGCTGCATTTGCCTAAATGTGGCATCAAGGAGCCCTAGCAAAACTGAAGTCAATAGGAATCAGGGTGAAAATCTCCCCTAAGGTTGGATTCATACCTTGGAAGACAACTTGGTTGTTGGCCAGTGATCTCAGCTCCTAGACATCTCTGTAGGAGTTCCTCAGAGTGGTGTCCTAGGCCCAACCATCTTCAGCTGCTTCATCAATGACCTTCCCTCCATCATAAGGTCAGAGGTGGGGATGTTCATCAATGATTGCACAATGTTCAGCACCATTCATGACTCCTCGGATACTGAAGCACTCCATGTTCAAATGCAGCAAGACCTAGGCTGACAAGTGGCAAGTAACATCCATGCCACGCAAATGCCAGGCTCGAACCATCTCCAATAAGAGACAATCTAAACACCACTCCTTGACAGTCAGCGGAGGTACCATGTCTAAATCTCCCAATATTAGCATTATGGGGGTTCTCATTGACTACAGGCTGAACTGGATTCATCACATAAACACAGTGGCTAGAAGAGCAGGTCAGACCCTAAGAATACTACAGTGAGTAACTCACCTCCTGACTCCCCAAAACCTGTCAATCATCGACAAGACACAAGTCAAGAACTGTATTGGAATATTCCCCAATTGCCTGGATGAGTGCAGGTTCAACAACTCTTAAGAAGCTTCACGCCATCCAGGACAAAGCAGCCCGTTTGAATGGCAACACATTCACTCTCTCCACCACCGATGGTCAGTAACAGCAGTATGCACTATCTACAAGATGCATTGCAGAAATTCACCAAATATGCTTAAACAGCCCCTCTCAAACCCATGACCGCTTTCATCTCAAAGGACAAGGGAAGCAGATACATGGAAATGCCAGCCACTGCAAGCTCCCCTCCAAGCCACTCACCATCCTGACTTGGAAATATATTTCCGTTGCCTCACTGTCATTGGGACAAAATACTGAAACACCCTCCTTAACAGCATTTTGGATCTCCCTATACCCAAGGACTGCAGTGGTTCAAGAAGACAGCTCCCCACCACCTTCTGAAATGCAACTCAGGATGGGCAATAAATGCTGATCCAGACAGCAAAGACCACATCCCATGTATGAATAAAAAGCACAGCCATTTTCTACAGAATAAAATCCCACAAAAGCTAACACTTGACTGACTGACAGATTTATCTTTAGCTGAGGGTGTAATGTTTGTCAGGGTGCTGAGACACTTGTGCACACTTACATATTCACTTTTGATATATGAGTGATAAATGGTTTAGTATTAAGTTGTTATCCTGAGATACTTGCTGTTATGAATTGACTCTCAAGTTTAAAATGCCCATTGGTTTACTGTCCTGCTGTAAATGTTTAAAGTGCACTCTATCCCTGACATGAAATCAGTCACAAGTAGTATATTTATGTTAATTATTTGCAGTGCTAAAATAGTGTGGGTAATTTAAAGTTTCCAATGACCTATATATTTATTGATCATAGGAATATTATAGAAAGAAATTTACAGGTCTAAGTGAATTCATGAGGAAACTGACTATTTAATTGATAATTCTAACTCTACTTTGGAATACTAATATTTGATATTTGCATATTGTTGAACAGCCACAACATATTTAAAAATTGATATTAAGAGCATGTTCAAATGCAGCAAGACCTGGGCTGACAAGTGGCAGGTAACATTAATGCCACACAAATGCCAGGCTCTAACTATCTCCAATAAGAGACAATCTAACCGTCACCCCATGACATTCAGCAGAGGTACCATGGCTGAATCTCCCAATATTAGCAGGGTATTTTTCCTGATGACCACTACAAGTACTATGTGATATTTTCCACTTCTGTGGTACTGGGTAAAGATTGTTTGAGGTAGTTTACTGGCACCAATTTTCCTTTGTCTTTCTTGGTCTGTCGTGGACCTATCTAGTGATCAGTGATAGAAGATGTGCCACTGACCAGTACATACGGTAATAGCTCTGTCCTTAGATAACAAGAAACTTTATTGTACAATCACAGCAAGTAGAACTACATTTGTTCAGGACAAATTATTTTTACTTTAAGGAGGTGGTACAGAGACATCTGCTCGTTCTGAATGCAGGAGTAGATCCATTGTCTCCATCCACAGATTGTGAGAGAATGGGTGGAGCCAATGGAACATTTACATTAACCCCTTCAGAACCATTACCTTGTACAATAGAAGGTGGTGCAGGTGATTGACTAACAATCCTTTCATCTTCAGAACCTGGGTTTCAACCTGAACAAAGGTTGAGATATGGACACCCATTGAGACTGGTATTTATTTCCCTTCTGTCCCTTAGGATACTAGTGATGGGTAACAATGAATCGCTGAAGTTTGTGTGATTCGTGTACACTGGCAGGTCTGTTAAGAAGGGAATTCCAGGATTCTGACTCAGCAACAATGAAGAAACAGTGACATATGTTCCAATTCAAAGTAGTGTGTGACTTAGAGAGCAACAAGGCAGTGATACTAATGGATCTAAACTTTGTTGTTCCGGGTGATCAAGGTTACAGATTTAGGAGCTGCCAAATGTTGGAATAAGTGTCTGTGACTGTAAAGATCCTGAATAAAATGAATCAGTACAGTTTCATCACATTTAGAACAATTTGACAAAAATGTTAAATAAAACCCGAAAGAACTGCGGAGACTGGAAATCAGAAACAAAACAAAGTTGCTGGAAAAGCTCAGCAAGTCTGGCAGGATCTGCGGCGAGAAATCAGAGTTAATGTTTCAGGTCCAGTGACCCTTCCTCAGAACTCAAAACATTAATTCTGATTTCTGTCCACAGATGCTGCCAGACCTGCTGAGTTTTTCCAGCAATTTCTGTTTTTGTTCTTGACAAAAATGTTCCCTAATCAATTTTTCATCCTCTTCTAATTACTTCTCTGATCTAATTTAGGGTATAACTTTTCCCGAGAAAGTGTTTCTACACGGGAAAAGAAAGTCTTGACATACCATAGAATTATCGAAGCTTTCAAATTTGCATTTGCGGAGAGAAGCAATTTGGAGTATCCAACATCGAGTGACCATACAAAGGTAAATATATTAAATGTGAGGGCAATTCTGAAAATATGTTTATCGTATTAACACTTATAGCTGCATGCACTTGCTGTCTACAAAATCTCACTTTGTTTTTCATTTTAGACAAACATTTCCGACAATGTTTTCTCATTATAACTTCCTTACATTTGTATTTGTAATGAAACCTCCTTATATAAGTTGTCACATGGTAATTGAACCCTCTCAGCACTTTTGCAGCTCCCTGTTACATTTTCCAGTTCACACAAAGATATGAATTAAGAACAGTACTCTGCCCTCTCATTGAATCAGATTATGGCTGATCTGATGACTTGACAATCTGCCGACCCCTGATAAGCTTTCACCCACAGGAATATAGGAACGGGAGTATGCCATTCAACCCCTTGAGCCTGTTTCACTATTTATTTAGATCATGGCTGATTTGTGGTCTAACTCCATCTAGCTGGCCTTAATACCTTTGCTTAACAAAGAAAATCTATTTCAGATTTAAAATTAGCAACTGATCTAGCATCCACTGCCATTTGTGGAAGGGAGTTCCAAACATTTACCATCCTTTGTGCTTCCTAACATCTCTCTCAAACAGTCTGGCCCTAATTTCACCTTGCTTAATAAGAATCTATCTATCTCTGCCTTACAAATACTCAAAGACTCTGCTTCCACAACCTCTTTAGGAACAGTGATTCTAAAACTCACGACACTTTGTGAGAAAAAACTCTCCTTAGTGCATTGAGTATTTTTAAACCATGACCACTAAGTCAGGATTCTCCCAAAAGAGGCAACATTGTCTCTATATCCACCCTTTCAGAACCCCTCATAATCTTACATATTTCAATCAAGTTGCCTCTTGCCGTTTTAAACCCCAGTGGACAAAAATCTCACCTTTCCTTTCTTCATGCCAACATGAGTCCCTTTTTTACACCAGCTCTCACTAAAATTGATGTCTCCAAAAACTTGCCAGAAGTCTTTGGTTCTGCCCTATTTAAGATTAGCTGTAAAATCTATAAGCAATGTTACAACATAGCGCAGGCAGTCTTTATACTGGAGAAATACCAACTCTAACTTTCAGGAAAGTTCTTTGCTTGACGTGAAGTTGGGTTTTTTATTCACTCATGGAATGTGGGCATCACTGGCTGGGCCAGCATTTATTACTCACCCTTAGTTGCTCTGAGAAAGTGATGGTGAGCTGCCTTCTTGAACCGCTGCTGTCTATAAACTAAAACCCCACTAATTCCGTCATTGCCCACGAAAATCTGAGCCAGTGGGAGTTCACCTGGCTTTTTTTTACTTAAAGGAGGTTTGAATTTCAATGTCTATCTCAGCACCAGAAGTGGTGCCAACATGTGGAAATCCTTCATGATGATGGTAGTTGAAGCTTTTTTATTTGTCCCTGGGTTGCTGATGACCAGTTATGGGCCTGATTTGTTTAAAACACCAGGCCTCTGCTCCGAATTTTCCTGCCTCCATTAATTCCTGCCACCAGCCTCATTTCTCGGGCGGTCTGAGCAAGCTGTGATAAAGTCCATTTTATCTGTTGTGCTGCGGAAGGTAGTAGCCTGTCGATATTGTAACATTTACTGTACGGAATGTTCCGTTGCTTGAAACATTTGTTCCAGCCAGTCACAACGGTGGGACACTCTTGAAGCATTTTGTCACACTTATCAGTTCGAGGGTGAGTGTGCATCAGTTTCTGTGAGGGAGAAAGTGACAGAGAAGGTGACGCCCATTTTTCTTTTATTCATTCACAGGATGAGGGTGTTGCTGGCTATGACAGCATTTATTGCCCATCCCTAATTACTCGTTTCTAAAGTACTGCTGTTAGCTGGCTCCATGCAGTTAGGCAAAGAATGGCCTATAGGCAGTGGCATTCCACTCAGAGCAGCTCATGAACTGGAATTGTGCTAATGAGCCGATGTTATTGTAGTAAAAGCAACAAATCCTGGAGATCACTGCGAGTC